GGTGATAGTGTAGCTCAGTTAGAATATACTCAAGTTCTTGGTAGCTTAATGTATATTATGAATTGTACTAGACCGGACTTGGCTTATAGTGTAAGTAGATTGAGTCGTTACTCCCACAATCCTGGGAAAGATCATTGGTATGCATTAGTAAGAGTGCTTAGATATTTAAAGCATACAATGAATTATGGGTTGCATTACACGAAATATCCTCCTGTTCTTGAAGGGTATTGTGATGCAAATTGGATTTCCAATACTTCTGAGGCAAAATCCACAAGTGGATATGTGTTCACTCTTGGTGGAGCTGCTATCTCTTGGAAATCATCTAAGCAAACTGTGAATACTCGTTCTACATGATGAAGCAGAGTTTGTTGCTTTAGACAAAGCTGCTGAAGAAGCTGAATGGCTTAAAGCTTCCTAGAAGGTATTCCTCTATGGCCTCAACCTGTTACTGCCATTGCCATACATTGTGATAGTATGGCTGCTCTTACTAGAGCACAAAGTCATATCTACAATGGCAAGTCGAGACACATTAGGCGCAGACATATTACAATAAGAGACTTGCTGAAGAATGGAATCATTTCCATTAGCTACATAAAGTCAAAGGAAAATATAGCTGATCCCTTGACAAAAGGCCTTAGTAGAGAGCAAGTTCTCTTCACATCGAGGGGAATGGGCTTAAAGCCAACACAATGAGTCACCACCTGGCGGAAACCTAACCTAGCAACATTGGAGATCCCATGGTCTAGGTTCAATAGGACAACTAGTTGGGGAAGACTCAAAGAACCACCAACACAAAGGTATGCTCACTCCTATGATATTATTTTGTGTTTTCCGTTGATGATATAGGGATGAATTCTTTATTCTTAATAATGCTGATAGCTTTTAGAGTGGAATAGTACGGATTGTTCCAGATTAGCATTACCTATGTGAGATGGATGTGAGGTCGCATCTTTGGGAGCTGATGTGGCTAAGCTCTCTAAAAGTCTCATGAAGAAAGGATTGTTCACGACCGAAAAGAACACAACGGTAAGAAATGAACCATGCTTAGATATGATATGTGTGATACTTCTTGTTTTGATTCTACTATAAAAAGTGGTTAGTTCAAGACTCTAGTTCACTACCCACAAAGTAGATCCAAGTAGTACTCACTATGAAAGGTTCAAGTTTTCCAACACCTATTCAGATGCATGTCATATCTTACTTCCCTTATTTGAATATCAAAGTTCACTTATTTTCTATTCAAATGTGGGGTATTCTTGGAGTTTGAATAGAAAATGTGGGGTATTGTTGGAACTTTGCTCTACAAGATTACAATGTGGGACTTATCCCACATTGGTGGAAGAGAAAACTTTATCCCACTTTATAAGGCTTGTATCACTCATTTATACAAATGGATCAAGTAATGGGTTGAGCAAATTGGGTTTGGGTTGTGGTGTTGGACTAGTCAAATTGGGCTAGTAGTAGGCTTGGATTATAGAATATTAATGGTCAAAGATAGGGCCTTGGGCCTTTGGGCTCTTCTTGACTAAATAATATTTTTTATATATATAATCTGAATTTAGTTAGTCATTAATTAATTTTATTTATTAATTATAAAATAAATTATGTTAGATAAAAGATTAACTGCAGTTAGTTTTTTAGCAGTTAATTTCGGTTGGTGGTTTATAACCACCATTGCAAGCCTATAAATGGAGGATTTCTGACAGAATTTAAAAGGCTAATAAACTACAAACACTTTCTCTGAAAATCATTCTTGATGTCAAAGGGATCATGGTGAATTTTAACAGATTCAAGATCTGTTCTTGAATTGGTTGTTGTATCCTCAAGACAGATCCATTCCAGGGAAATTTCTGTCTTAGGACACTGCAAAAGCAGGCCTCAATCTGTATAATTTCGAGATTTAATTTCCTGTGTAATCAACATTCAAGTATGTTTTCTGTAATCTTATTCTTGTATAATATATATATTTGAATTTCGTTTGTTTCATTTAAATTACTTTGTTGATTGTATACTTCTGTAATAACAACCTCTTCCACGACCAGAATGGTTCCAATTACCTTTTCCACGATCTGAATTGTTCCAATTACCTTTCCCACGGCCTCTTCCTCGTCCCCTATGGTTGCTTGAATTACCTTGTTGCTTGTTCTTTGATTCTTGCTCGTTCGATTGGTTCTTGTTTCTTTCTGACCATTCTTCATGGGTTAAGAGTAGTTTCTTCTCGTCTACTTCTTGATGTACTTGAATACGCACTTCGTGTGCTTTGAGTCTTCCAACGACTTCTTCAACTGTCATCGTATCAAGATCAACGAATTGTTCAATTGTTGATGCAATTTGAACAAATTTAGAGGGCATGTCTTGTAGAATCTTCTTGACCACGTACACTTCGTCCATGGTATCACCTAACGCCCGGATGTTGCTCACGATGTTGCTGGTTTTTGCTGAAAAATCATCAACCGTCTCGAATTCTTTCATACTAAGAATCTCGAATTCAGCCTTTAGTGACTGAACTTTTGCTGTTCGAACTCGATCTGCACCCATATACATAGTCTTGAGTGTTTCCCACACCTCTTTTGCCGTTTGCTTCTCCGCTATCGACAAAAGGATTTCTTCCGGGATGGCTGGTAAATCGCTGCCATAGCCGTCTTATCCTTCTTGACACCAACTGCATTCTCGGGTTTCTTCGGTTCAATCGCATCCCAAACCTCTATTGCTTGCATGAACACCTTCATCTTAATTGCCCATGCAGCATAGTTGGTTCTAGTCAAGATGGGATAATGCATCTTCGGTCCTTCCATTGTGGGGCTGTGAAAGATCGGTTAGTCGGATCTCTTATGTGTTCTTCTGAGCTCTGATACCAAGTGTAAGGTATCTACGTGATACCTTGCTGCAACCTTGTTGCCTAAGAACAGAAAACAAAACAGAACAGAAAGGAAAGAAGGAAAAAAATCTGCACAGCAAGCAACAGGTGATAACAGGGGAAGAAAAAAACGGGATTTTTTGATTTTGGTCGGTGGAAAAGGCAAAACTTTTATTGCTGAAAAGCTTCATTCTAAATACCTATATACATAGCATATTTATAGTAAAAGAAAAAGAGTTTGACTCATAGTCTAAAACCGGGAAACAAAAATAATAAAAGCAATTTTCCTAAAATGCCCCTGTGGGCTTTTTCCTGAATTAAGCCAACAGTTTGTAATAGTTGGAATTTGAAAATGCTTGAGTTTTAAGGGTTTGCTGTTGTTTCTTTTCTTTTCTTTTCTTGAATAGCTTACACTGATGGAAATTCCTGTAAATAGTTTCGTAATGCTATAACTCCACGGATGAAATTTTCCTTTTTGTGATCATAGGGTAATAAATTGATTGGCATTTTTAAGCTCTTTCTGATTTACATTTTAGAATATTTTCTTTGTAATTAAAGGACCTGAATTTACTAAGGATAATTCATAATAGTACTCGGAAGCCCCACTTATCTTTGAAGTCATAAAACATGTAATTGCTATCCTCAAATGCTTTTAGGTCCATCAGTATATAAATTAGCCAAGGTCTTTAGCATAAGACAGCTGTGGTTTCTGGAGCCTTGAAATCTGTTGGGGAAATATTCTTTTCAATGAAGCATTCCAAACGTCTTGTAGCATCTTCCATATTTTGACATTTGACTCCACTGGTGTCAAAAGTTTCTTTCAATGAAGCATTAATCCAAACTTCTTCAACAAGTAGGATATTTTTGTTGTTGGGGAAATATTCCTTCTCAGAGTATAATTGAACTCTAGAATAAGAAATTGCTTAAGCTCTCCAAGATCCTTCATCTAGAATGAACACACAAATGCTAGCTATGTGGTTATTAATCAATTGTCATATGTGTGCTTAATCTGAGGTATCAACATATGATTTCAACTATCAACTGTTTCAAGTCCTTATAAACATTAAGAAAACGGGTGTAGGATGTAAGATGTATTGATGCTAATGTCCCCACATAAAGAATGTTAATGTGCCTTGGAAAATATTTCTATGCTCTTGATGATGTCAAGAGACCATGAGGAGTGTTTGGCTAAAGTTATAACTGAGTTACACGGGAGTGTTTGGATAAAGTTATTACTGAGTTATTCACGAGGAGTGTTTGGCTATTGAATCTTAAACCTGAGTAATAAAACTGGTTTTCTTGTGAAACTTAAATGACATAGAAAGTAAGATAGTTCAGTGGATGAAATTGCATTGTTACTAGATTCAATCCATAAATAGAGTTTTCTGTTCATATTAATCCAGAAAATGAGATTGTGTGTTGAAAATTATGCATCATATTTCTTTCTACATGTATGTATGTTCCTTGTTTATTCCCTCCTCCAATGGTGAGAAAAAGTTGGTAATCTGATAGAGATTTCTATTGTGTTTCCTCATTGCTCATTGTATATAATGCAGCTCCACCATTTTAGTGACAATTACCCTCTTGCTGAGCTGGAAAGGCGATGCAGACATAATGTATTGCTTTAATTATCTTAAAGAAACAGAAAAACAGAGGGGGATGAGCTCAATGATGATTGTGAGAAAGTAATATATAGTAGTTTACACTTTACATGTATCGCTTTTCTTGTGCAGCCCCTTGAATAAAATAGTTTTTTTTTTTTCCTCTCTGGATAGATCATAGATGTTTGATTTAGAACAACACAAGTGCAAGGAAATTTCTGTCAAAGGACACTGCAAGAGGCAACCTCTATTTGATCAAAATCTGTATCAATTGTCATATTTGGACAAGTCTGTAGTTTACTTTGTTCATTGTTTTTCATTTGATTAATTACAGTTAGTATAATTGTCTATGATATAGGTATTATCGCGTTCAAGTTCTAGCAAATTATGTCTTTTTGTTGGCATTATTTTGACTCAATCGATGACTACATTTATAACATTTTTATTATCTTTGTCTTTCCGATACCCATCCAATGCATTGCATTTGAAGATGGAATCACAATAAATGAAGAACGGATGATACAAATATGGAAATCATCCTGTGTCCAAACAAATCTTGTAATGTACATAAGACATCCCCCCAACTAATTGGCTAATTGGCAAATAAATCTACAAAAAAACTAAACATCACAATGAAGTACCTCTATATGGCTACCAATACTTTATGTAGTGGCGTATATATACTATTCGAGTTGCTACCAAACCAAATCGATCAAATACCCGTTATAAAGCTCTTTGTGTTCTTGTTCAAACCACATATCTTGTACAAATCGAATCGCATTCATATACAAAAGAGATGAATACAATTCGATTAGCATGCTTAGAACAAATCGACTTCCAAAATCTTGGAGGAAATGGCAGCAGCAAGTTCTGCAGTGAAATCAGGATCTTTTCCTAGAAAAGTAGCCATTTTTTCCACCAAAACCTCATCAAATCTTGGGGAGTTTGACCTTCTTTCACTACTTGAAATCTTATGTTCATTGGCTAGGGCATACGCAGCCTCTTCCTTTGTGCTTCTGTGGTTGTGCTCACCTTCATAGGTCGCAACTACTACACCAGGATCATCCACACTTCTTTGCACCTGAACACAACATCATATCATATAAGCAAACTTTTGAACAAAATTCTCTATATATATCAACATGAAATCATGATAAAACTTATTAGTAGTAGATAAGTTTATCAAACCAACGATTTCTTATGTATATCTTGGAGAAAGAAGGAAGGGAGAGAGATGGTGTTCTTGCCTTCTTCTTGACTGGGCATGTTGGTGAAGAAGAGCACTTATAATAAGCTCTAGGAGATGGGTTGTCTCTAGTCACCTTTTGTCCATATTTCCTCCATTGATATCCATCCTTCACTACCTATAAATGCAACACTTTGACTTTAATCAATGCTTCTTAAAAGGGGTGCAATGGTTTCTTGTTCAGGGAATTGATGACGAAAAAAAAATTAATCAAGTACCAGGCTTTTATCAGACGGATCTGTTGGTATATAAACTCTTTGAACCCCAGTATTCCTTGGTGATTCCAAGTTCCAATTCTGTCTCTTCCACAAGCTTTGTTGAACTGTCTCGTCGAGCTTTCTTTTCTTTGGATTCGATTCAAATACTTGTTTTTCTTGCATTAGTTTCTTGACATGCGTTTGAAGAGAGTTGTAGTTCTCCCATACGATCTTAAGCATCTCCTTTAGCTTCTTGTTTTCGTTGTTTATCCTGCTTAAATGATCCCCACTGATCATATGATCATCAACCTGCTCGTATATATGTACACCGTTCGTCAATATAACTACCAGGAAAATGCCACACACACACACACACACTTCATTCATGTAATAAAAGTTTCGAATGCATGTAATTAACCAGAAACCTCTTTTCCAAACGAACAATCGTCTTCTTCCTCCCCGTCATCATCATCGTCATCATAATCATCATCGGTGTGAACTTCTCCAATCTTAACCACAAGTAAACAAGTTATATATACATAGATGTAATTAAACGGAAATGCTCAGTTAAGCATTAGTCAGGTATATCATATATGTAAGTGCTTACCGGTGTGTCATCGGTTTTGTGGAAGGGGAAAAGATTGAGGTCTATGGCAAATGATGTCGCCACCATTATTGCTGGTCTGAAGAATTAATTGTTCAACTGATTGAAGAAGAAGCCAACAAGGGTTCGCAGTCTTATAGAGATTTGAAGTCGCAAAGTCTTTGTCTGTTTTTAATTGCATAAAGATATTTCCAAGAAAGCTGATTACACTTGTATGAACTCTCAATAAGATATCAACAAAAAATAATGTTTTAAAAGATAAATATTGGGGTAATTACTATTTCTATTCGAATCAATAAGAAAGTAAATAAGTGTAGACTTTTGACTTGAAACTTATTGTATGGTCTTTCGTAACAACAAGCTCCCCGGAAAAAAAAAAAAAGACAAATCCACCTGTCATGCTTGCGTGTTGGGACGTACGTGGGTAATATGTAATTTTGTTTTTTTCTTTATTATTAATTTTATCAAAAAACATTATCAACTGTATAATAAAAATTAATAATTTTTAAATTTTAATAATTATAAGTCAATATTGTTTAAAGACAGATTTATATGACAAAATTCTTTTGTAAATTCTATTAAACTATGAATATTGTTAACAGAGTAATTTTTTGAAATTAAGATTTGTCGATATTGATTTTTAAATGATGAAACCAAAAAATTATTAACTTTGATATGTTTTTAAATAAAAAAAAGTTAATAATAAAAGAAAAAAAATAATGATCATTGTTAATGTTCAGTTATTAAGGTTCATATATTTTTATGATTTCTATTTCAATTTTAAAGAATATATATATATATATATATATATATATATATATATATATATATATATATATATATATATATATATATATTAAAAACACCTTGATACTATCCTCAAAATATTTTGTTGAAAAAACAACAAAATTTCATAATTATTCCCATAGTTTGCAAAATATTACACTTTGAAAAATTCTATAAAAAACGCCAAGCCACTTATTTCTATGGTTTTGAAAATTGCAAGAATGGTCATTCTGATGTTAACTTTAACTTTTAAGTAGTTAGATTTTTCTAAATGATTGAAATGCCTTTAGACGAAATCTGAAAATTATGTATACCTCAAGGATCAATTATGAAAATTTGAAATTTTGTATACATATAAATTATCAATTTAATATATATATATATATATATATATATATATATATATATATATATATATATTAGCGTGTGCCCGCGCAAAACGGCAGCGATAAATAACTATTTTAGCGAATAGTTTCTTACGGGAAAATAATTATTAAATTTTATTATTAGTTATTACTAATAAAAAATTATCATTTTTAAATAAAATAATTATGTTTATACCTTATATTTATATTGTTTATTTATACTATTGATGTAATTAATTAATATTGGTACCTAGTTTAAGAAATGTAAATTAATTTATATAAATTAATTTAATATTTTAAAATTTTTATTTTGCTCCAAATTGAATTTCTTAATCACGTTCCTTAATTTAAATTTTCAAATTTTTGACAAGTATTAATAATTTATTTATACATAATTGATTTGGACAAAAAACGTTATAACTTATACCTCATAAATTTCAAAATATGACTAATATACTTTATAATATAGTATAAGACAATATATATATATTATATATATATATATATATATATATATATATATATATCAAGGTTGCAAAAATCGCTCGACGGTAGCTCGACGTTCACCTGGTGTTAAGGGATTAATCGGTCTTGGCGGGGATTAATCGGGGACCATAGATTATTAATAAAATATTAAAATTAATTAAATATTAATATATCTTAAGAAAAACAAGCACTTCAAAATTAGAAAATAAGAAAATTTGTAATTTGGAAATTTGAAAATACAAAAATATGAACATTTTGGTATAATTTTTGAAAATTTGAAAATTTGAAAATTTTGGAGTAAAAAAAAAAGTTGGTTTTTTGAATTTTTTTTAAATTTTTTTGACCATTTTTGACTTTTTTTTTTACTTTTTTCGACTTTTGTTGACCGATTAATCCCGCCAAGGCCGATTAATCCCGCCAAAGCCGATTAATCCTAAATTTCCGATTAATGCCCTAATCCTCGACGGTTGGAGAACGTCAAGCGATTAATCCACGATTAATCGCCGATTAATCCCGATTTCTGCAACCATGATATATATATATATATATATATATATATATATATATATATATATATATATATATATGCTTTATTTTTTTGTTTTTTAATTTTATTTTTCAACAATCTATAACTTCTTTTTACCTTTTGGTATCTTTTGTTTTCAATTTTTTTTTTCTAATTTTAGTTATTTGTGGTTTTTGTAATGTTTTTATTTGTTTTGATTCAAGTAAATGAACTTAAATTCGATAAACCATGTCGGGATCATTTTTTCTTTTATTTATTTCTTAGGCCGGACGGAGTGGGACTGCGGGGAAGGAGCGGGAACCGATCCCGCACTTATGCACACCGCACCGTGGGTGCGGGAAAGGAACCGCGGGAAGACACTGGGGGGAGAGAGTCCCGCTCTCTCTCTCTCTCTCTCTTCTAACCATTGGCCGACGAGTTTTTTTTTTTTCTTTTTTTTCTTTTTTACTCAAACGGCTATATAGCCGTTACATATGTATATATTTATTTTTTTTTCTTTTTTCCTTCCCTTTTCTTAATCTATAAATACACAAACATTTTATCATTTTTTTAAACCATAATTTATATTTCTCTATATTTCTCTCTAAAAAATATTACTCAAAATGTCATCATCTTCATCATCCGATTCGACGGCAGTAGAGGAGGCTAAGTTTATTGGTTCCGTCATGACGAAAACGGTTGCATACTATCAAAACCGACTAGGTGAAACATCACGTGCACGACCTAACATAAGAAAGCCGTCGTTACGTAGAAATCACGAAGCCGCCGTTACTATGTTGTAGGTTGTTTGATTTTTTTTTTTTGCGGTTTTTTTTTTCTAGTTATTTAAATATTAGGGTTAATGTAATTTTTATTTTACTTAATGAAATGTTTTTTATTTTTAATTAAATTTTATGTTTGATATTAATTTAAAAATTATAAATCAAAAAAAATTATTTTATTTAATATATAAAAAAAAAAGTGAGGGAAGGGCTTCACACCCATTCCTTGGTTTTTAGGTGAGGGAAAGGAGAGTGAGGGAAAGAGGAGTATGGTCCACCAAAAGTGAGAGAAGCTTCCCTCCCACTCCTTTCAGTCTTATTTGTGAATTGAACCTGTAACGTTTTTTAATTATATGATGTTAAGGTTCATGTTTTTAGTTGGATGCTCCACCAAATAACCAAAGTTGTTATTTTTATTTATTTAATATAATAATTAGGTTAACGTGTGTATTGAATTATGTGTTTTAAAAAAAAATTAACTACTTAAAAGTTAACATTAATGCCAAAGGACCATTCATGAAATTTTCGAAACCATAAGTACCAATGGCACGATATTTTTTTTATAAAAAAAGTACTTAAATTGTAATATTTTACAAACCACATGGATAATTATGAAATTTTGTAAAAAAACTTGATGGTCATTGATGCCACATCAAGATATAGTCATATTTATTGCGTCACATTTATTGCATCACTTGTAAGTTGTAATAAATGAACTAAAACTAAAAAAAAAAAGACTTTCTTTCTTCTCTAACAAACCTTGTCCCCAAGTCTATGCATAAAATATTTTTCCATACCATTGAAAGTAATCTGGAAATTTCGGCTTCAATTTATTAATTAATTCATATGATATGATAAGAAAAATGTATAATGCTTATTGAGTGCCTGCGTGGTCTTCGACCAAACTGTAAAAACTTTACTAATGTGTGTAAACTGGTTAATTTGTCGCATATCATAGAAAATGAAAGTTTGAAAATCTAAGAGCATCATTTTTTACTTAGAACATTTTAATAAAAAAACTCAAAATAAACAATTGATTTTTATTTTGCTTTTTATATATTACTTATGTTTAGATATTGTATGGTTTTAATTGGTTAAAAATCTATAAGTCTCATAGTCTCACACAAGAAATGGAAAAACTCTTGGTTAGGGTTGACGGTATCAATAGCGGGCTCTGACGAGAGGACGGCGTTACAGCCAAGGCGACGAATCCGAACAACAATGGTACCGTCAGAAGAAGTTGCTTGCGGGTTATGGAACCACTCCTCTCTACTCTTTCTACTTGCACATTGTGTTTCTTTACTTGTATTGTATGTAGTTTTGTATGTTTTTAATCGAGTGAGTTGGAAAGAAAAATATAGGTTTTCATGTATTGTGGGTCGGAAAAATGAAAGAGAGGTGATACAGAAAAGCTAATGTGACAAGCATGTTGAGTGGGTTGCGATGAGTGGATACCCTCCACCTTTAGAGTTTGTTAAATAACAAGCTCAAAAGTTTTGAAATTAAAAAGCTCTCTCAATATGTTTTTTATTTTTCAAAAGGTTTTTTTGTTTAAAAAATCTATTGAAAAAGCTCCTGTTGTTAACGTTCTAAGGGCAGACGGTATCGTTCGTAGGTTCGACTTTTGGGTTGGTTGTACTGTCGGTGGTTCGATACATGCAATATCCAAGCATCAAATATTGGGTGTTTGGCGGGTTGTGTAACCCGTGACGTTTTATATGCAATAAAAATGAGTATCCCGAACAACATAACATGAAAGATTTTCGTTACGAGATGACATGAAATATTTTAAAAAATCATCTTTTTTTTTAAGAATTGAAGTATTTCTTCTCATTTGTCGTTTGTAGTCATTTTAGTATTTGTTTTCATTTTAATTATCGTTTTAAGATGTAATTTATGTTTTATTGTAATATGGTTTTTTAGTTAAATGTTTTTTTATATTGTTTATAATTGTTTTATTTTAAGTTAGTAAAGATTATTTTAAAGAATAAAAAATTTTAAAAAGTTATGTTTTATTTTATTTTTAATTTTATGATTTAGTTAAATTAAAAATAGTGAGTGGGTAGAGTGAGTTGGGAAAGATAAGTTTTCATGTGTTAGACCGGAGGGTATGGGTGGGAAACTCCCCTTACTTTTTGTGGCCACAACATCCTTTCCATTACTTTTATTTC